TTGTTCTCCAGAACAGCTTTACTATTTTGTTCCACCAAAGAAGAAAAACCCAAAGTCACTGAATACATATACTGTGCCTTTGCTAGCAGGAGAGAGACAGTGTGCAGCTAGTGGGCAACTTCAGGCAATGGCAGAAGCTCATTATACTCCAGAGGCCTGCACGAGGGCAGCATAAAACCACCTTCAGTATTCTGCATTGAAAGGGTACTCCGTGTGATTTTTGCACCTGGAGGAAATTAAAGAGAAAAGATTACTTAAGGCTGAAATATAGAACCTTCAGGGGAGGCTCTAAACTGAGTAGCAGCAGAATGAATTTAAGAGACTTATTAGTATAGAAAAAGCATACAGGACCAACAGGACCAACATCTTAATCTTTTTCTTTTAGGCACTGAACAGTGCTTACAGAGAAAACAGCAGTTTCTGTGGCCTTCCAGACAACACTTCTTGTCTTGCTCTAGGCTGCGAAGGTGTGTATCTGCAAGCAGTTGTGCTTTGTACTGCACAACAGATGATCATTCCCTCCCCCAACCACCTATGTAAGAGCTGACATCAGTTTATAATACCTCACAGAAAAAATTATCTCAAGTTTAAAACTGCCTAATGTTCATTTATCCCAGATGGACATAGCCAGAGTTATCAACCAGAACTCTTATTCTGGAATTCCTGGCACACAAAGTTTCCTGGAGAACGGATTTACAATGAATACACAGCATGACTTATCCTTTAGTCAATAAAGTAAAAAACATAACTCCTCTAAGATGTTAAGTAACAGATGCTTCATCCCCCAAATGATTTCAGATTTCAAGATATACCCAATTTAAACAGCTACACCTGTTCCTATGAGGTCAAAATGAAGATAATTGAAAATGTAAGAGTTTGAAGGAGACAAAGGGCCATTTACGTGATCATTTCACAGATCCTCCAGTTTCTGTTTAAGCTGAGAAGGGTTGCCATCTCCTCTTCAGTCAATTTGAAGTCAAATACCTAAAAAGAGAAACAGCTGGAAACTACCTCTGAACAAATCAAAAGCAAGATTCACAACATCAAAGAACAAGTTCATATCAGAAAGAGTGCTGGTTACAAGTGATAGTGCATGAAACACAGAAAGGAAAAGAAGTATGTTTGGATTTTTATATTCTACTGGTAGAGGGAAGAAACAAACAAAAAGACTGACAGTTGCAGTTACGTGTGCCAGCTATTCCAAGGTGTTTGGTGAGCACTTAAGTGTTGCAGAATGGCTCTGCCCTCCATTTGTGAAAGGTGCATCTTTCTGTCCTATACAAAAGAAACAGCTACAACACCTCCATATTCAAAAAATCCAACTACGTTACATCTGAAATGCTGATGTCCAATATCAGAGAAAAACTCCCTGATGTAACAGTCAGAGGAGCTATGTGGTTTATCAACAGCAGGATTCTTCCCTTAATGTTGCTTACTCTGTATTTTGAGGAATGTTACTAGATTGAGGCTCCAAGCAATCCCTGCCCATTGTTTCATCCACAGGTCCACAGAACAGAAGACACCATGTAAAGTAACAGATAATGTTATCAGCATACTGTTTCCAAAAGCTCTATCTTTTCTTCAGTTTAGTTTTCAATGTAGCCCTGACTTCCAGAAAGAAAGAGCGAGCCCAGTCCTGCTGCCCAAGGAGGACATGGCAAGGATGAGAAAGTATCTCTGTTTGCTGTGCAGGGAGAAGCCACGCTGTCCCTGAAGGGCAGCACCCAGCTCACTCCTAATCCCTCACCTTGAAGTTCTCCACAATGCGCTGTGGTGTGACAGACTTGGGAATCACAATCACATTTCTCTGGATCTGGAAGCGAAGGAGAACCTGCAAGAACAGACAACTGAGTCAGAAAGAGGATGGTTCCTGCTCTGGAGGAAGCAGAGCCTGTTCCAACAGCTGTTTTCTCTAAGCTAGATGCACTTTGGCAGAGCTGCATTTCAAACCATTCCTGTCCCTGAAATCCATGTAGCACTGCCTGGAGAGCAAAAAGGGAAGCGGTGGAGCCTCACACGGAAGGACTCCTTTCCCTTCCAGTTTTGGAACAATACCTTTTCTTCCCAGCTAGGCTTTTAGTAGTCTATGCAAGGCTTTCATTCTCTAAGAAAGGGGAAGTGACATCTGCAGATGGGTCAAGAATCTTTTCCTGTCTGATGATCAAACAGGTAATAGTAGCATATATTGCCACAGTGTGGGCAATCTGCATTGCTTCTTAACGCCACCAAACAGCACCACAGTTCACATTAGAGGCTGTTCCCTCTCTTCAGACATAGTTTCCCTAATGGCTGTGTTACAGGAATGAGTACCCACTCTGTGGCTCCTACTCACCTGTGCTGGGGTTTTGTTGTGCTTGGCTGCAATCTCTTTGATCATGGGGTCATCCAGAAGGGAAGGTGCCTCTGGCTTAGAACTAGACAAAGGGGATGGGGGAAGGAAGAAACAACAAAGAATCACTCTAGAAATATTCTATCTTGCCTCATCAATTAAAAAAAATAATTTTATATATATATGTACACCTGCACCATTACTCAATTAGTCTGAATGTTTCAGACTTATCATGTTAACCCACTTGCAAATTACCCATCAGGGCGGCCAAGGGGACAGTATGCTGTCACAGTGATCCCTTTGGATTGGCAATAGTTGATCAACTTCTCCTGGGTAAGGTATGGATGACACTCAATCTGCCAACACAGAAGCAGAGAAAGAGATGTGGAACTACTGTACTTTTCCCATGCTCCAGAGATTTTTCTAAATCCTAATTTCCTATTTACAGGCTGTCTTCATCTGCCCTGTGTGTGGTCTGTGTGACAATACAAGACTATAAATTCTATAGGGCAGCAACTTTTACATTGAATACTTCTGTGCTTTTTTATTTTGTTCTGAGAGGCTTTATAAAAGTCAGTGATTATAGTCAGAATAATACCTCCTATCTGGATTCTTCATCCCTCCAGAGAGAATGCTTCCTAGGAAAATAATCTGGAATTTGTAAAAAGTGGTTCAGCAAGGTGAGACAAAAAGTAAATGTTAAGGTCCTGTGTGTACCAAGAAATACCCATAGAGAGGGATTTAAAATACATGCTGTATCTACTTTCTTTTTGTTTTTCCATCTCCTCATTCAACTGTAATCAGATCTTTATAATCCCTGAAAAGTATTCACCTGCAGCCACTTTGCAGCTTACCTGGTTATTTGCAGGCTTGTACTTCAGTCCTGGTTTGTTCAAGATTCTTTCAATCTGTTCATGGTTAAAGTTGGAAATTCCAATGGCTTTTACCAGACCAGCATCCACCAGCTCTTCCATGGCCTGATATAAAGTAGAGCCAAGTCAGCAGTGTACAAGACATGACCTGAGTACATTCTTCCTGTCGTTTTTTTCTCGTTTCTCTTCATGGGAAGCACAGTTTCAAAAGCTACCCATGTATTTTTGTGAATTCTTTCTAGCTAATTCTGCATACATGCATGAGCCCTTCTGCAAGCGTTGAAGCCAACACCACTGCTGAGGACACATGATGTGACTTTTTCACTAAGATGAACTTACCTCCCATGTCTGTAGAATATCAGTGTTGCTGGAGATAGCCATGCCTTTGTCATCTGCGGGAAACAGTCCCTCTCCTGCCTGTCAGTGACAAAGAAAATGCTTACAAATCTGTTGAGAAGTTCACTTAATACCATGAGTATTCAAAACCAAAACAGTTTAAACTTCCAGTGCAGGCAAGAGCACTAATTCTTGTCTACATTCAGTCATTTCTTCTGCAGAAGTAGAAGGAATTTGTGGCATTTTTGCTAGTGACCGTTCCCATAAAGACAGGGTTTTCTACTGGACCCCTGGAAGTTATGGTTCACCCAAATACCTAAAAGGGAAAAAAACCCACTCCGAACTATAGACTTCAGTCTCCCACATGTTCACTTCAGGTATTGTTCTTTAGTTCCCAGTTAGAAAGAACTGTTTTGCTCTTTTTCCCAGAGGGGCATCAAGGGATATAACTGGGTACTGGGAAGATTTTGGTCTACGCAATACCAGATTTGCTGAAAAAGGCAGTTCTTCCATGACAAAGCTCTGTGTAAAGTTGCCAACACTAGGAAAATTAGAGGAGCCTTCGTGTACAAGTTATGAAAAGACACCAAGACTGAACTGCGTTTAGCAGCTGATTGTTGCTGTGACAACGAGACAGCTCCATTTTCATGGCTTTGTTAATATAAAGCTAAAATAAAACATGAAAAAAAGATGAGCATCTCAAAGGCAACAGGTAGGACAGAGATAGATCAGACTGCAGCAGGACAGAAAGGCTAAAACTAGAAATATTCAAGCAGACATCAACTCCTTCACTAATCTTGGGGGTCTAACCTCTCCCACTGAAGTTTCACGGTTTAAATTCCCGTCTCAGTGGAACAAGCAAGGACAGCTCAATCTGTACCACATTAAGGACCTGGTGATTGAAAGAGAGAAATGGAAACCAGAAATATTTCGTTTTGTTCCCTGATTCTGTATCACACAGAGGAAAATTTCAGACAGGCAGCAAAGTGCAGACCTCCTTCCTACAAGGGGAAATGTGGCATGAACATACACTGGATTTGCAAGAGAAAGGCAAAGAAGCCTGTCTTATACTTGCAGCTGGGAGATCTGCCCCTGGTTTTTAGACGATCATTCCCAGGATGAAAGGGTATGGAAAAGGCCGTTTTAGGAGCAGAGACCAAGAGCCTAACTCAGATGGCCAGACTAAAGCTGAGCACCAGACCAGTGCTGACACAGATGACAGACATGTCATTGTCTTTCTCAGTCATAGCAATTGTTAGGCTGTAAAGGCAGTCACAAGAAACAAACCTATGGGTATTGCTGTTACTATACCTTGAACCCAAAAGGCCAGTGGATGAGGTAGAGATCCAGGTAATCCAGTTTCAAGTCTGCAAGAGTCTTCTGGCAGGCTCCCTTCACCAGAGGCTTCTCATGAAACGTGCACCACAGCTAGAGACAAAAAAACAAGGCACAACATGACCTCCTGGGTTAAAGCTCTCAAGTGCTTTCCTGAACAGCACAGAAATGTTCCATGTTCTTTGGAAAGCAACGTGGAATGAGGCCATCGTGCTCTTCAGATGAGGTGTGCTCTGGGATGGAACTGGCCCACGACACGGAAGGCAGTATGTGCAGTGGCAGCACAGTATTTGAGCGTGATCATAACAAGTCCTCTGGTTCCATTAGTTCAGATACAATTTGTCCTGCCCACTCTACCTTTTCCTGCAGATTGGTCTGCGGCTAGCCTCTCCTCATCCATCCCCTAGCACTCTGTCTTCTCAGCAGAGGGCCAGAACACAGCAGGGCTGTGGTGCTCAAGGTTGCTGTACATTTTGGGGGGGAAATCAGACCCTTGCCTCCCTTATTGGAAGAAAGTGCAGGGAAGACAGCTGCCAGCAGTTAGGGTAAGAGTGATTCTTCTCAAGTAACTCTTGCTATCCTATAGCTACAACATTAAACATTACTGTCAGTGGACAGGAAAGGATCAAACTCTCACTGTGGTCATGAAGTGGAACAAGACAGTAGTATCAGGAATAATCTCGTTTATATTATGAGCTTTTCCAATGCTACAGCATTAAACTACTTTAGGTCCCTCCTGTAAAAATATCACAAAGCCAGTTTGTCCATAATCCACGACCATCTGATCCATACCTTACTGACGATGAAGAGGTCCTCTCGTTTCACAACACCTTCCTTGATTTTCTGGTGGATCCCATGCCCAACTTCCTTCTCATTCTGGTACACGTAGGCACAGTCAAAGTGGCGATACCCGGCATCGATGGCAGCCATCACTGCAGTTTCCACCTTACCTGGGGGGGACTAACGGGAAAAAGGGTAGGATATGTCTCAATTTGGGATTTTCACGTACTTCTCCTTCGGTAGCTGCCCAAGTACCGCCGGGGGGGTCGGTGCCCGCGGTTACCTTCCATGTGCCGAGCCCCAGCAGCGGCGCCCTGGCAGCGCCGAGCCGCGCGTACGCCGCCATGAGCCATGAGCGATGAGCGGGCCGGCAGCGCTCCGCCCACCTCTCCCTCACAGCCAATCAGCGCTCCAGCCTTGCCCCGGTGGCAGCGCCGCCCAATCAGCAGCGGATCCTGCAGCCAATGGGATCCGTCCGGCGGCCATGTTGGGATAGCGAGGTGGGCGTGTCCCGCGTTGCGGTGTCCGGAGCGCTGCGACCTTTCCTCCTGGTTAAGGGTGAAGTTGCTGATCAGAGATAAGGGCTGAGGGGCAGGTGTGTCCCGATCCGGCAGGTGTTTGTGCAGGGATCAGCTCCTGCAGCGCCCTATCCCTGTGCCACAGGTTGTCCGTGCGTGTCGCTTGTTGCAGTTCTCCCCATGGATTCTGAGAGAGAGACGGTTTCTTTCTGGGACCCTTTGGCCCACGATTTGCCATCGGTACAGCCCAGGGGTGTCCCAGAATGGGTCAAGAAGCGGGACATGGGGTAGGACGTCATACAGAAGTCCCACGCTCCCAGCTCCCCGAGCTGCTCCCTCGCTGCCGGGTGTGTGGCTGGAGGCTGAGCCTTTGGCTGGAGCAGCACAGCAGTAGTAGCCTGAGCTGGTGCCAAGAACCTGCCATGCTGCGTGCCAATGAAAGGAGGTGCCTAGAGATACCTCAGTATGGTTTGTGAGAGTGGGGAGCACCCTGTTTCCCTCTCCAGATGGGACAAGTACAATTTCAGTTTGTGGTGAGTTTGTAATTTACGAAATAATCAGTACAAATCATTTTAAATGGTGGGGGAAAGTATTTCTTAGTATGTTTTCAAAGCTACAGATGAGCAGTGAGTTTTCATCAAGTGTCTTGTGGATCACATTGTGCCTGTGTCTTTAGGGAGGTTCAAACCGTATTTCAGAAGAAAATATACAACTGTAGAGATAAATGGTATGTGAACTTTAATTTCACATTAGAAATTGACTTTGAAATTGTGGAGAGGCAAAATACGCTGTACTGATGAGGTGCTCACAGTTTAATGGAAAAAAAATTATCAGAAGAATCATTCAAGTGCTCCATAAAGGTATGTTAGGGCTACTTGTAAGTCTTTGTTATTCGCTTGGAGTACTGATTCACGTACAAGCATAAATTTGAAGTGTGTACAGTGGTGCACTTTTCTCTGGGTGCTTCTCCCACAGCTGGTGCCCCAGGTCTTTTTGCTTTAACTGAAGACAGACTGATAATTAGCTTTTCTCTTTAATCTTCCTCTGGTTTTGTGTCAAGGCTATCATCTTCCTCAGCAGGATGTGGTATTTCAGTTTAATCACATAAGAGTTATACAACTTGGGCTTATCTTTCATCCTTATTTGGGATTCCTTCTGCAAAGATCTGCCCTGAGTCCACTTAGTTTCTTGGTCTGGTTCATTGTTCAGAGAAGTCATTGAATACTGCAAAATGACACATTTTGCCTTGTCTGCCATGTATTTTTCAAGACAGCCCAGAGAGCAGTTGAAGTGCCAGTTTGCTCCTGCTCTCCTTTGTATTCTCAAGGCACTTCGAGTTTGTGGTGCTGTGCTGGTAATTTATTAGTGTTAGTAGTGTCCCATTCAGAAACCATCAGTGGTGAGTGGCTTTCAAGGCTTGATGTTAGGAACTGGCAGAACCCATCAGATTTTGTACTGGAGCAGCACCAAGGTGAACTGTTGCCCTCAGAGAGCTGTGCTCTGCAAGCCTGTGAAAGCTTGCAAAGTCTGACTGTTTAGCCAGCAGGATGGGATCTCCTCTAAGGGAAAGCAGAAACCCTGCCGTGTTTGTTCTCATTCTTCTGAGCCCATCTTTCTGGAGACAGGTTCAAAAGCCTAGCATTCCTGCAGCAAGGAGCTGGGTAGAGTGTGTGATGACAGAGAGAGATTTGGTGGAGAGCAGGGCTGAGAAGTGTAATTTGTCCTTCCTTTCACTTTCTTCTGAGATTTCTGATGCTGCTGCTTCTGTGAACTCATGTTCTCTTGTGAAGGTTGGTGCTTGGTTTTCCCAAGACACATCCAGAGAGATGCCTTGCTCATTTAAGAGAGGATTTTTGGTGTTTTGCTTAGTTTGTGCCTGTTGCTGTGAGACCTCGCCCAAATCATGCCGATACAGGGGAGCGGCCAGTTGATTTTCTGTCCTGAAGGTGTGGCTGGGGTTGTCAGGTGATAGTAGGGAATTTGGGAAAGGAATATGTATTGGAACAGGATGTTTATGTTGCTAAATGGTGTGCATTGATTCAACTTCCAGATGCTTGTTAAGGCAGGAATAAGACAGGAGGATAGTGGTTTAATCTGATTCTAAGACTTTGGCCTTTTTTTTTTGCACTGAGTTCAGAGCAAGTCAGGAGCATCCCCTGAGGTCCCATCACCCTCTATGTCTTCTCAGTATTTTTTTTGGAAGACTTTAATCTTTGACAATTCTTGTATTTGCCTATTTGTCTGCTTATCTGATGAGCTGACAAAACTGTAATTAGGATGATTTAACTCCAAAAATGAAACGATGAGCACGTACCCTAAGCAGGCAGCCCTTCCCTGTGCATCCTTTGCACTTAGGCCTGATTCAGCAAGTTGATGTGGCTAAACCCTGATGATGTCTCCTTCCTTTCAGCAGGTTGTATGTGCCCTGGGATGAGAAGAGACCCTTCAAGTGAGAGCAGGGTAGCCCTTCAGCATGGTTAGGATGAGGCAGTAAGTGATGCCCTAAGCCAAGGAGGATATGGATGAATTTGTGTGATTGTGTCCACAATGATGGCTCCAAAGTTAGAGCAAGTATTTGATCAGAAGCTTTCCAAGGCAAAGAGAGTGATTGTGAAAGGTGATAGAAATTCCCTACATCGTTAGCTCCCACGCCATATTAAGTATTGTACCCTTATTGGATTCACTGCCTTGGTGTATTTTTTTTGCAGGATGGATGTCTTACCCCCTGCCTGTAAGTTGCTGAGGGCTTTATGGGCTGCTTCTTTGGGAAGCTGGGGGACATAGGGGTTTGGATTGTATCTTTTTGAATTGGAAGTGGACATTTTGGGGAGAAGATCCTAAGGTGTCAGTGGTTTGGCTCAGCACGAAAGCGCTGAGCCTGCCCTGCCAACAGACCTGGGTTGTGTGGCAGCTGAAATGTCCCCAGCAGTGCTGGTGGCTGTGCCTGGGGCTCAGGGGCTGTGGCCAGCACAGAGGGGACAATGTGGACTGCTGAGGAATGGCAGGGGAAAGTGCTGAGTGGCTGTCCCAGGGAAAATCCATGTCCCCACAGTGCAGGTGACTGCAGCCCACTTCTCTGTGCATCTCTGGGTAGGAGTGTTTTGGGTTTTCCTACACTGGACAGGGGATTTTCAGCCAGTTATCTTTTTGCTTTTTACAGTTAAATTTATTTAATATATAAGACATCTCTGATGAAATTGTGAATCCATGGGGTTTTTCTTGTAGTTTGTCAACATCTGGTTTCTGCTGATATAAGACTGAAGGCAATCAGACTGAATGGTGGTACAAGCTCTTCCCATTTTCTGCCTAGCACCTCTGCTTTGGTTCTTCAGTAGAAATACTGTCTTCTAATAAGGAGAAGATTATCACATCCCACATTTTTTGCTGTAGAAAATACTCTTTTCTTCCAAAAAAACCCCCAAATTTCATGGGATAAACATTCTGTGTCTTCACTGGCAGTACTGGGGCAGATGCAATTAGAAAACTAGATAAATAGCTCAAAGTTAGAGCAGAGGCACGTAAGCCACCAGAGGCCTAGTGAGGGCCATATTCAGTATTCGGCATGGAAAGGGTATTCCTTGAGATTTTTGGACCTGAAAGCAATCAAAGAGGGAATGTTATTTTAATGTATAACTTAAATGTTATATAGAGATGCATTGAGTACATGAAGGAGCCACTAAGGGAAGATCTGCATCATGTAATTACAGGAAGAATATGTGGAGATATATGCCCTCGTTTCTCTAATATATCTGTATTAGAGATGAAATGAATATCCAGAACCCATTTTTGGTAATTCAAGTTACAGAGAGTTTCCTGAAAACTGAATTCAAAATGAGAATGTTTGTTTTCTTTTTTTGTTTGTTTTTGTTTTAAAAATGAAAATATTAAACCCTCTCCTGAAAAAGTAATTTTGAGAAAACCAGTTGGAATTTGAGTTGGTGTGATTTTTAAATAGACTGAATTACATTCTACCTAGTAGCTGTGACACGAAATTCCTTGTAAAGCATATTCAGAATTTAAGATTTGGAAGAAAACAGTCAGTGTCACTTACATGTTCATTTGACAGATCCTCCAGTTTCTGTTAAAGCTCAGAATAGTTGCTATCTCCTCTTTAGTCAATTCAAAGTCAAACACCTGAAAAGAGAAACAACTGGAAATGAGCTCTTTGGACAAACCAAACAATGAGAAGAAAGACAGGATTAGAGAGCAGCTCCTTGCCAGAGGGTCGATTTCCACTCATGGGCCACTGAATTAACAGATAGAAGGACAATTTGTTTTATGGACACGGGAACTGTTTTATGAACAGTGCTTATTCTATATAAGATATTTCTGGCATGTTACTGTGTGGGGATTCCAAGCAAGCAGTGCCTGCTGACTCATCCATAAGCCACAGAAAAGGAAATATCATATAAGGGCTCTTCATTAACCTCTCCAAAAATAGGCCTGGCTTGACATTCAGTAAAGATTAGTTAAGCATAAAGAAGGAAGAAGTGCAGTCCTGCTGTCCAAGGAGGACATGGCAAGGATGAGAAAGTATCTCTGTTTGCTGTGCAGGGAGAAGCCATGCTGTCCCTGAAGGGCAGCACCCAGCTCACTCCTAATCCCTCACCTTGAAGTTCTCCACAATGCGCTGTGGTGTGACAGACTTGGGAATCACAATCACATTTCTCTGGATCTGGAAGCGAAGGAGAACCTGCAAGAACAGACAACTGAGTCAGAAAGAGGATGGTTCCTGCTCTGGAGGAAGCAGAACCTGTTCCAACACCTGTTTTCTCTAAGCTAGATGCACTTTGGCAGAGCTGCATTTCAAACCATTCCTGTCCCTGAAATCCATGTAGCACTGCCTGGAGAGCAAAAAGGGAA